CATCTTTCGCGTATTTTCCTGGGGATTTCCATCTTTAGCACATTTTTTTTCCATGTCATATCCCATGATTTAGCCGTTGGGTCATTTTGTATAGCATACAATTCTAATGATTCATTCGTTGACCAACTGACAGGATCATGTCCTGAAGCACCAATGGTTAGATCATTCGATATAATGACACATGTTTACTTACTTACAACATAAACTTTAAAACGTTTTACTTATTTTGTAAACATGGTTTACTCATTAACCATCACTACACACACTTATCTGGTATATATATACATGTGTATTGGGTTAGATTTTATTTGTCATCTTTTTGCTTCTGGATATACATGTATACATGTGATGATGATTCAGATAAGACGTAAAAACTAGATACAATGGATCACAATGTAGGTCCGAAGGCTGTACAGTGGCTTGTAGTTTTAAAGGCTATCGCATCGTCAGAATTAGGCTCTATAGTCCTGTTTTCTTCTCCTCTCATTAGAAGGCTATCGTATCACTGAAGGCTGTCAAGTGGCTTTTACTTCTCTCATTTAAAGGCTATCGCATCGCCAGAAGGCTCTATAGTTGCTTTTACTTTTCCTCTCATTAGAAGGCTATCGCATCGTCAGAAGGCTCTATAGTTGCTTTTACTTCTCCTCTCATTTGAAGCTTAAGGCTATCGCATCGCCAGAAGGCTCTATAGTGGCTTTTACTTCTCCTCTCATTAGAAGGCTATCGCATCGCCAGAAGGCTCTATAGTTGCTTTTACTTCTTCTTTCATTAGAAGGCTATCGCATCGCCAGAAGGCTCTATAGTTGCTTTTACTTCTCCTCTCATTTGAAGGCTATCGCATCGCCAGAAGGCTCTATAGTGGCTTTTACTTCTCCTCTCATTTGAAGGCTATCGCATCGCCAGAAGGCTCTATAGTGGCTTTTACTTCTCTCATTTTAAGGCTATCGTATCATTGAAGGCTGTCAAGTGGCTTTTACTTCTCTTTTCATTTAAAGGCTATCGCATCGTCAGAAGGCTCTATAGTCGCTTTTACTTCTCTCATTTGGAGGTGGCTTTTACTTCTCTTCTCATTTTAAGGCTATCATATCATTGAGGGCTGTAAACTGGCTATTACTTCTCCTAGCTCTCATTTAAAGGCTATCATATCATTGAAGGCTGTAAAGTGGCTTTTGCTTCTATTCACATTCATAGGATATCACATCGTCAGAAGGGTGTAAAGTAGCTTTTACTTCTCTTCTCATTTAAAAGCCAATGTATCATTGATAAGTAAACCAGATCTCCTGTTTGTACAAAGTGGTCTACTTCAATGGAGTATAGCTTGGGATCTTGTCTAAATGCCAACCAACAGGTAGTAGGTATTAGTCAGGTTCCCAGGGATTCAGTTTAATAATAGAGTATCGAAAGGAGAGTACCAATATTACTATTCTTTGTTTTAATTGTGTCGTTGGAATGCTTCCTTATTGATGTTTTACCCGCATCTCTTTTTGCATAAAAGTGTGCATAATAAAACAACAAAAACACTGAAATAAAAGGTTCGGTAATACATATATACTGTATTCCTCCATGCTGATATTTCATCAACCATCACTATTTAATAAATTATTTGATCGGTGCATTTTTCTCTTCCTTGCAATATCCATTTACCCAGCAATTGAATTTATAGAATAAACGGATGGCCCAGTCAACTGTTGAAAAAAACTAACTTCCATGTTAGAAATAAAGTCTAAAATCATAATATTCTTACATATTTATTGAATCGTTTATATTTTTCAATCAATAAAGCTTTATATCTGATATTTAACATGAATTATTAGTCCCCTAACGACGAAGTGGAGGGGGCATTAAGTTTTACCCTTGTCCGTCTGTACGTACGTCCGTCCGTACGTCCCCAAATTGGTTTCCATTCTCTAACTTGAGTTTTCCTCAACCAAATGTTATGAAACTTATACACAATGCTAATTACTACAAAACACAGATCAAGTTTGAATTTTGGTGGCGTCACTTTAACCGTTCTAGAGTTATGCCCCTTTATAAATGGAAAAATTGCAAAATTTTTAGTTTCCGTTCTCTTACTTAAGTTTGCCTCAACCAAATGTTATGAAACTTATACACAATGCTTATTACCACCAAATACAGATCAAGTTTGAATTTTGGTAGCGTCACTCTAACCGTTCGAGAGTTATGCCCCTTTATATAAACGGAAAAATTACAAAAATTTTAGTTTCCGTTCTCTTACTTAAGTTTGCTTCAACCAAATGTTATGAAACTTATACACAATGCTTATTACCACAAAACACAGATCAAGTTTGAATTTTGGTGTCGTCACTTTAACCGTTCTAGAGTAATGCCCCTTCATAAATGGAAAAATTGCAAAATTTTTAGTTTCCGTTCTCTTACTTAAGTTGCCTCAACCAAATGTTATGAAACTTATACACAATGCTTATTACTACATAATACAGATTAAGTACAAAATTTGGTGAGAACACTTTTACCATTCTTGAGTTATGTCCCTTTATAAACATAAAAAATGCTGAATTTTTAGTTTCCGTTCTCTAACTTTAGTTTGTCTCAACCAAATGTTATAAAACTTATATACAACTGTTCTAGAGTTATGCGTGTTTACAAATAGAAAAATTGCTGAATTTTTAGTTTCTGTCCTCTACTTAAGTTAGCCTCAACCAAATGTTATGAGACTTACACACAATGCTTATTACCACAAAACTCAGATCAAGTTCAAATTTGGGTAGCGTCACTTTTACCGTTCTTCAGTTATGTCCCTTTATAACTATATGCTCTGCAAGCGGGGGCATCATCTGTGTCCACATGTGGACACTATCCACATTTATTTCTTCTTGCTTGAAGATATTGATTTGATATTTGGTATATTGTTTTATCATGACAAGTTACAGATCAAGTTCGAATTTTGTTCCGGTCTGATAATTTTGTGCAGAGTTATGGTCCTTGGACTTGGAAAATTCACTCAAATATTCAGTTTTCCGCTCTTTTTTTCGTCATTCTTGAAGATATTGATTTAATGATTGGTACATTGTTTTATCATGACAAGTTACAGATCAAGTTCGAATTTTGTTCCGATCTGATGATTTTGTGCAAAGTTATGGTCCTTGGACTTAGAAAATTCACTCAAATAATCAGTTTTCCGCACTTTTTTTCTTCATGCTTGAAGATATTGATTTGGTAATTGGTATATAGTTTTATCATGACAAGTTACAGACCAAGTTTGAATTTTGTTTCGGTTTGATGATTTTTTGCAGAGTTATGGTCCTTGGACTTTGAAAATTCACTTAAATTATCAGTTTTCCGCACTTTTTTTCGTCATGCTTGAAGATATTGACTAGATATTTGTTATATAGTTTACACCATGACAAGTTATAGATCAAGTTAGCATTTTGTTCCAGTACAATTAATTTTTAACCGGTAGGGGACTATGTATTTGCCATGCAATACTCTCAGAATGCTTGTTAAAACAAGGTTGCAAAAACAACTTAAACTGATTTTTATAGTTTGTTTTTATGTTGTGTTGTTACACCACTGTCTCAGGTTAAGGGAGAGTTGAGCGCTCACAATTTGTTTAGCCGCGACACATTCTTTATGTGCCTGTCCCAAGTCAGGAGCCTATAGTTCAGTGGTTGTCGTTGGTTCATGTCTGTCATATTTGTTTTTCGTAAATTGTTTTGTTATAAATTAGGCCGTTAGTTTTCTCAATTGAATTGTTTCATATTTTTCATGTCGGGGCCTTTTACGGTATAGGTTTTTCTCGATGTTGAAGGTCTTGCGGTTGCCTATAATTGCTTACATCCACTTCATTTGAACTTTGGTGGATAGTTGTCTCATTGGCAATCATACCACATCTCCTTATTTTTATATTAAATACAACTTTGTTGTATCAATATTTATTTGATATATCTGTTCATACTTAACACATGTAGTGATACCCTCTGTAGACTTACGGGCCCTCGGTGGCCGAGTGGTCTAAGTAGTTACTACTGTAATCACTAGCCAGTCAACACTGAGGTTGTGAGTTCGAACCCCGCTCGTGCGGGTGCACTCGACTCCAATCTTAATTGACTAGGATTGTCAGTTTTCCTATCGAAGGTCGGTGGTTTTCTCCGGGCACTCCGGCTTCCTCCACCAATAAAAACTGGCCGCCACGAAAAAGCCCAAAAGCGGTGCTTAAAAGTGGCGTTAAAACACCAAAATCAAATCAAATCAAATCAAATCTGTAGACTTACAATCCTCGTCGATTTTCCTTGTTTTACCTTGATTTAACTATAATATAATGTCTTATTCTAAGACATTTCTGACAAAAAAGTTAGGTTTTTTTTAGGAAAAAAACACCAAGGAGCTTGTTAGACATCAAATCGAATACGGCTTTATTGTATGAAAGAAATATATTAATGTCTTCTTGGAAAACAGTTATCAGCCCTTTCTTGCATCTTAACAAAAAGCAGCCAAGGTGAACACGACATACAGTTTACTCATGCATACATCAATATTTTCAAAATTTTCATCGCCGCGATATATCCTTTTTGTGCTGATGCGGCGTAAAGCAGTCACCAAATAATCAATCAATTAATATTTTCAAACAAAAACTTTTTTTTTTCGTTCAAAACATCAAACGAAAGAGAATAATCCCAAAACTATGTGAAATGAAAAAATATATAAAATGAAAGAAAATAATAAACAAAGAAACATAGTTCTGTAGTAAAATTTGAATACTTGCTCCATAAGAGCAGTAATTATTTATATTGGTTTGAATAGACAATTGCTGTCACCTGATACACATTTCTTACATCGGTATTTTTGATTAATTTAACGCACATAATTTCGGACTGAATTTCTGGTATTTAGTTAGAAATGGCCGATGACTTTTTCGAGGAAGAGTTACTATTGACATAGCCTAACATTATAAACCCTACGAGAAAGCATTTAATTTATTACACGTATGGACGGTTTCATCGTACAAATATGTATTAACACAGGTAATAAACCAACCAGGTAAAAACATTCCATTCATTTAAAAGTTTGTAACGCGTAATAAGTGTCCTATATTTCGCTGAATCTTTCTCCAAGTACAATGCCTATCAGCGAGTCTGAAGCCAACAAAATCTTTGATGTCTGCGATGCCAACAAAGATGGTAACGTAACAAAACTGGAGTTGTTAAAGGGATTAACAAACTATTTCCAGAAAAGCATTTCAGTGGAAGCTGCAACTGTAAGTTTTATTTTTCAAACATGTAACTCATTTTACTATTGGCTACTATTTGAAAATCGTCGAATCACTTCTTCCTTTTTACTCTCCCCAAAGTCAGTTTGATTTCTGATGAAAATAGTTATTGATAAGAGCAAAATCTACACTGATAATTATACACTTATACATCGTTTCTCATTTATTTTTAACTTTTCACTAAAATCTGCTACTCTTTTCTATATTAAAGAATAAGGAAAGCTTCTCTGGTACAATGTTCTGAATTACATGCGGTCGACAAGCTTATTATACGTTTGGTCTGTTATTTCAGTATTAAGGATTTCATTATAAAATATGTAGCAATCAAGCATTTCAATCTTGTTTATATTTGACAAAAACTTTAGAATTTGACGAGTTGTTTCCCTTACTCTATGAAAATATAAAGTACAATATAATTAACCTTTCAAATCTTGGTAGAATTATTGTTAGCTCCCTATATGCTGACCGAAAGTTATAGATCAACAATTTTTACACATTCCAGTATTACACTTGTATCACAGTTACAATGAAATAACCTGGATTGACGTTCTTTTGTCATGCTCATAAAGCTTCAGGTTATGATATGATTGTGTCAATAATTTTCGATTTTAGGATATCTTTATGGGTTTAGATGACAACAAAGATGATAAGATAACTAGAGATGAATTTCTGAACCAGTTATGCAGGAAGTTAAACAGACGGTATTTATCAACCTTCTAATTTTTGTGTGCTTATTGATTAGTTTAGTTTGAATTCATGTTTTGATGTACTTTAAAGAGTATTTCTGTGATTTTATCAAATATTATTATATGTGTACCGAGATAAATTAAAGTCTTTAAAAGGAAATTTAAATTTAAATCTTCATATTTTACCTATTTATTTAGACCTAAACTTTTTAAATCTCAAATATTTTAATTCCCTAATAGAATGTGTCTACACCATTTGCAGATGTGCGATAGATAAAAGTTATTTATTCACTCCCAAGGTATTTTTGTATGTCTGATTTTAGTAAAGTATACCAATTATTAGTCCAAAATGCATGTATTGATTGACAATATAAAAATATGGAGATGTGGCATGACTGCCAATGAGACAACTATCCACCAAAGCTTATTACGTAACGTTGACTTTAATTTGACGGATTAATGGTTTAATCTTCTTACAGAATAATGTTTATATTTTTATATTACAGACTCTATATACTTAGTAAAATGCTATGTACTTAAGAAAATACTTCACAGCTGCAATACATACACTAAATTCAGTTGAGTTAAGTCCCCGTTTTACTTCCTTTGTCTTAATGTTATCAGGGTACATTATCTTTAGATGAAATGAAATCATTTAGGTTTAATTCGTCCCTCCTCCAACAAAAATCAAAATTCAAATGTCATTGGTTTGAAAAGCGGATTTTGTATTTATAACGTAACTTTCTTTGAGATTTTTTATTCGAAAAGGAATTATAAATAACTCCCACTTAGAGTTCCAGTACACGAGTATATATGAAATAGAACGTGTTTGTTGGTTTAATTACGATAAATGAACTTGGGAAAACCATAAATTCAGCCAACACAGCAGTGTTTGTACTTAGACATAATTCAGTCGTTTTTTATTATACCCCACGCAACGAGTTGCGGAGGGTATAATGTTTTTGACCCGTCCGTCCGTTCGTCCGTCCGTCTGTCTGTCCGTCCGTCTGTCTGTCCGTCCGTCTGTCCGTCCGTCAGTCCTGTTTCTTTTCATTGCAACTCCTCTCAAACCACACAACAGAATTTCACGAAACCTTTTTAGATAATAAGGACATACTATGTAGTTGTGCATATCGACAGGAAATTACGATTCAATTCTTTTTCTAGGAGTTACCCCCCTTTGAACTTATTTACTTTAATGTACTACTGCAACAGTTTGTCATCGCAACTCCTCTCAAACCACACAACAGAATTTCATGAAACCTTTTTCAGATAATAAGGACATACTACGTAGATGTGCATATCGACAGGAAATTACGATTCAATTTTTTTTCCAGGAGTTACACCCCTTTGAACTTATTTACCCAATATACTACTGCAACCTTTTGTCATCGCAACTCCTCTCAAACCACACAACAGAATTTCATGAAACCTTTTCAGATAATAAGGACATACTACGTAGATGTGCATATCGACAGGAAATTACGATTCAATTTTTTTTCCAGGAGTTACGCCCCTTTGAACTTATTTGCCCAATATACTACTGCAGCTTTTTGTCATCGCAACTCCTCTCAAACCACACAACAGAATTTCATGAAACCTTTTCAGATAATAAGGACATACTACGTAGATGTTCATATCGACAGGAAATTACGATTCAATTTTTTTTCCAGGAGTTACGCCCCTTTGAACTTATTTGTCCAATATACTACAGCAGCCTTTTGTCATCGCAACTCCTCTCAAACCACACAACAGAATTTCATGAAACCTTTTTAGATAATAAGGACATACTACGTAGATGTTCATATCGACAGGAAATTACGATTCAATTTTTTTTCCAGGAGTTACGCCCCTTTGAACTTATTTGTCCAATATACTACTGCAACCTTTTGTCATCGCAACTCCTCTCAAACCACACAACAGAATTTCATAAAACTGTGTAGATAATAAGGACATACTATGTAGATGTGCATATTGACAGGAAATTATGATTCAATTTTTTTTTCTGATACAATTTTTTTTTCTTACACTTATTTTATTTCTCCAATGACAATGTGGGGTCGTGGGGTATGTGAGCGCGCTCACTAAGGTTCTTTCATTTGGAATGCAATCATATTTTTAATTTACGTGGAATTTCCTGTAATTAAGACCAAATTTTACTGCAATATGACTGGAATGGCTGATCAAAGACATGGAATGATTAAATATACAAATGTATTCATGTTTTCTGAAAAGTTAAAGCTTCGTCTTTGACTTTGCGTATGCCATATGAAAATGAACCGGATGTTTAAATACAATGGTATATTATTAAACTTCAAAATCTATTTCTACAGAATACTGTTGATAATATATTTTTTTTAGGTTTTTGCGTGATTTACTAAAATCCTGACTCAAGTTTTCTCGAAATTGTCATTTTGTAATCCGAGTTGATTACTCGTCCAAGCATCTTAATAGTATAAACCAGCTGTTTGTCCTAGGCAATTCTTATATTTTCTATCATAGGGACACGTATCTATTCTATAACGTATCAGTTGTTATGAAAAACAAACAGAAATAGCTTCACCCCCTTGTATCATATGGAGGAACTTAGCAACCACCATCAAACAAGGTTTAATAAACTTTCAATCTAAAAAGAGTAATATTGATATTATTATTCACACATAAATAATGAAAATGAATTCCTTAGCTGTGGTATATTCATTCAAGATTTTATTATTACAAGGTGAAAAATTACAACATTAATAAATCTTAACCTGTATGAAATGAAGGTAAAGTTAATGAAATTATACCATTTCTCTCTCTCTCTCTCTCTCTCTCTCTCTCTCTCTCTCTCTCTCTCTCTCAACGTTTTAATCATTTTCCAAAATGTTGAAATGTGTTGTAATTAATGTCAACATTTTTATCTAATTTATCGTTTATAATTTTTCATATTCTCATCTTGTTTTGAAACAAATTTCGACATCGGAATCAAGCGACATCACCCAAGAAACGTTTATATGTTTATATATACACACAAACTTACCTATAAAGTATGTTAGATACCGAGTATCTGTTTTAAACAATATATGCGTTTCTCTCGCATTGTTCATGCCAGAAAACAACATTTGTGATTAATGAGACAGTTTCTCTCGCATTATTCATGCTTGAAAACAACATTTGTGATTAATGAGACAGTGCGGGGATTGCGCATGCGTGAAGAAAATGGCAGGACATTTTTGTCGTATGAAATTTTTTCACTAAAACTGATATTTTGATCGTTTAAAAGCAAAGCTTTTACATAAAATTGCAATACCTGGGTAAATATATAATATTTATTCATATACATCCATCAAAGAATTATTTTTTAAATTATCTTTAAAAAAAATACATTTGTTGTATTAAAAAACACACAGCATAAATCAACACAAATTTCTACTTCCAACTGTACTGATACTTTTAACTAATCAGGCTATTTCATAAGAAACCAGCACCCTTTGGCAGCCGAAGGGACGAAGGTCTAACATACCACTTCAATATTAACATCTTATTTAAAGGTAGGCTGCACCTTTTCTATCTTAGCACATACATAATAAAGTGAACAAATAAACCATAAACAGGGATGATCATGCAACTGTACTATACGTATTTGAGTTTATCCATCATCTTACTATTAGCAAACCATCTATCTCAGTTAAATTCTACTCACCAAACTGAGAACAAAAATACATCAGTAGCTATTAACAACTCAAACATTCATGTAACAGGAGTACTTGCAACTCAACTGAAAGTGAACAAATGTAGACCAGTCAGTAAGTACATATTCATACTTCTCTTAGCAAATGCATCTGACACAGAAACAAATCCTGGCCGCCAAAAACACCTAAGTGGCCTTGTGGTACATGCTCAAAAGCAGTAACGTGGAAACACCAAGCGATCTGTTGCGATAGCTGTGAAACATGGTTTCACATAAAATGCCAACATATACAATCAAATATATTTAGATTCATGGATGCGAGTAATGTGTCTTGGGAATGTTTACAATGTGGTATGCCTAATTTCTCTACGGCAATATTTAATTCAACATATAGTGTTGAAACTGAAAATAAATTTTCAACCCTTAGTAGATGTTCAGTATTAAGAAGCCCAGGGGCACCAACGGCCTCTTCTTCACCTAAAGTACAGGAAGAGGACAGATATAAACAAAATATAAATACCAAAACTAAAGCAAAACAAAGTAAAATAAAGAGACAAATTAGAATATTAGATATTAATTTTCAATCAATTTGTAACAAAAAACCAGATTTACAAGAGATCATTAACTCAGTTAAACCTGATATCATCATGGGAACTGAAACTTGGTTGAATAAAACAACACCATCATCAGAATTCTTCCCACCAAACCTGTTTAATGTATACAGAAAAGACAGAACACCTAATAGTAAAGACAAAAGTCATGGAGGGGTACTTTTAGCAATAACAAAAGAGTTCATAAGCTCAGAAATGTGTGAATTACAAACCGAATGTGAACTTGTATGGTCTGAAATAAACATCACAGGTACTAAAAAGATCATTATTGGTACTTATTATCGACCTCCTTCTGATGACGGAACATCTCTAGAAAATTTAAACATATCATTAAATAGAATTAAAAATACTTCAACATCGAATATATGGGTTGGAGGCGACTTTAACTTGGGCCATATTGACTGGTCTATACCATCTGTAGTTACAGGCAAACCTGAACCAACATTGCATCAACAATTACTAGACATTATAAATGATCACAACTTACATCAAGTGACAGATAAAGCTACACGTAAAGATAGAATTCTAGATCTGTTCTTTACTACAAACCCAACAAATATAAACAAAATTACAACATTACCACCAGTTGGTCAAGCAGATCATGACATAGTTTATATTGAAATAGATACATGGCTCAAAAGAGTAAGGGAAGTACCCAGAAAAATTCTTAAATTTGATAAGGCTAACTGGGATAATATCAAGTCTGATTTAGAAAATACTCTTATAACATTAGATAAAGACTATAAAACAAGTAATGTCGACACATTATGGAACACCTTTAAAGTGGACCTTGTAACATCAATTGAAAAAAATGTACCTCATAAAATGTTAACATATAAACATAGACTACCTTGGGTGACAAACAAATTACGAAAACTTATTAACAACAAAAATAAAGCATATAGCAAGAGAAAGAAAAATCCAGAAAAATAAAAAAAAAACTTAAAAAGCAAGTACAGAAAGAACTACGTACAGGCTACTGGAACTACATAGAAAAAATAATCTGTGACTTACCTGTAAATGATGCTGACCAACATATGACACCAAATGCAAAACCCAAAAATTTATTTAGCTATATTAAAAGCACAAGAACAGATAGCACAGGTATTGCACCTTTAAAAAAGGACGGTATACTAATCACTGAAACAGAAGAAAAAGCAAACATCTTAAACCATCAATTTCAGGCCGTCTTCACAAATGAATCTAACACAAATATCCCAGGCAAAGGTACTAGCCCACATCTTGAAATGCCACAAATATCTATTAGCAAAACAGGAGTCACAAAATTACTATCAAATCTTAACCCCCACAAAGCATGTGGACCTGACAATATAAACGGTAGAGTACTAAAAGAATTAAAAGAGCAAGTGTCACCAATACTTACATTAATATTCAGTAAGTCATTAGAGTCGGGGGAAACGCCTAAAGATTGGAAGCATGCCAACGTTGCTCCAGCATTTAAAAAAGGGGAAAAATATAAACCTGTAAATTACAGACCCATATCATTAACATGTATATGCTGTAAGATCATGGAACATATCATCACAAGTAACATAATGTCACATTTAGAACAAAACAACATTTTATATAATCTACACCATGGCTTCAGATAAAACCGATCTTGTGAATCACAATTGATTGACTTCATTCAAGAACTATCATCTAGTAATAATAGTAACATTCAAATTGACCTTATCATTATGGACTTTGCTAAAGCGTTTGATAAAGTTCCTCACCAACGATTACTTTACAAACTTCAGTACTATGGTATAAGGAAAAATACACTTAAATAGATCCAAGCTTTTTTATCCGATAGAACACAAACAGTTGTAATAAATGGTATTTCTTCTACATCAGTGCCAGTTACATCTGGAGTCCCACAGGGTACTGTACTGGGCCCCATATTATTTCTCATTTACATTAATGACTTCTCTTAATATTTAACACATAGCAAATTAAGACTCTTTGCTGATGACAGCATCATATATAGAGAAATCAAATCTCAATCAGACTGTGATAAATTACAAGAAGATCTAAACGCTGCAGCAAAGTGGGAAGCAGATTGGCTTATGGCTTTCCACCCTGATAAATGCACTAAACTTTCAATTTCACATAAAAAGAAACCATATTTACATGATTACATCCTTCATAGTCACATTCTTGAATCCGTTACATCTGCTAAATATCTAGGCGTTACTCTACAATCAAATATTTAATGGAACCTACATTATGACAACATTATCTCAAACGGCAATAAATCTTTAGGATTCCTTAAAAGAAATTTGAAAATATCAAACACAGACATTAAATCAAGAGCATATCAAGCAATAGTCAGACCAAAATTAGAATACAGCTGCAGTTTATGGGACCCTCACACAAAAGATGCTACCCAAAAAATAGAAATGGTTCAAAGAAGAGCAACTAGGTACATTTGTAACAACTACCATAACACCAGTAGCGTTACAAATATGATGAATAATTTAAAACTACCGACATTAGCTGAACGCCGCCTTAAAGCACGTCTTATTATATTTTACAAAGTAATTCACGGCCTCATTGCCATACCATCTGAAATTTTAATACCAACAGACAGTAGAACAAGACAAAACCATCCAAATACTTATAGACATATACGAACCACAAAGGAAACATATAAGTGGTCATTTTCCCCACACACCATCATACAATGGAACACATGCAAGGTGTTCTCTGCCAACTGATTTAAATCAAGACAATAAATTTTTGTATAAAATTTTTATTTTAATCACTAGTTTTTGTAATATACATACACAAATTGTCAAATTTGTATATATTTTTTTTCTTTGGCATTTACAAGAAAATTAAGTTTTAACACGCATGCGCAACAACAAGTAATCTTCAGTATCCTGAAGTTTTGTTGTATAACTGAAGAGGAAGAAGAAGTTTCTCTCGCATTATTCATGCTAGAAAACAACATTTCTGATTAATGAGACAGTTTCTCTGGCATTATTCATGCTAGAAAACAACATTTCTGTTTAATGAGATAGTTTCTCTGGCATTATTCATGCTAGAAAACAACATTTGTGATTAATGAGACAGTTTCTCTCGCACTATTCGTGCTAGAAAACAACATTTCTAAGTAATGAGACAGTTTCGTGATTAACGAGACAGTTTCGACATTTGATTTCCCCTTAAACAGCAAGACCGAATGCAACCAACACGTAATGCAATAGTGCAATGGTTCTCGAATGGTCACATAAACACCTAATTGGCCGAGACAATGTTATCTTCCGATTATTACAAGGCGACAGCCATCAATGTAAATAGCGGGTAGGATGTAAAATGTCTGATCTATTTCAATTAATTGTTGTTAAATAATCGTATTTGATTCGCTTCCTTTACTATCAGTGGTCCCGATTGAAGACCAAAAATGGCCACTGTGACAACAGTTTGATATAGGAAAAATAAAATGAAATTCTGCCCCTTGACACAAAACGAAAAAAACTGTAATAAAACTTGGTCACAATAAACACAGGTCACGGTAAAACACACATTTAATATACATATTGATATTAATAGTTGGGTAGATGGACATTAGATATATTAAGTTTAGAAGTAAATACAATCTTTAATTCTGACTACTGGGCACGAAGGATTTGTTTCCATAAGAGTAATTTATCCTATGTTTTATTTTGAACAACGTAAAACGTATATACATTAAAAAACACACACATTCGAATCCGCCTCTTACTTGAGGACATGAAATATATGAAGTATTATTGCTTTGGTTTCAATCCCGATACGAGCCACTAGAATTTTCCCTGTTCATACATAGTTACTCAATCACCGGAAGATAGGTTCCTTAAAAATAACGTCTGATTGGTTGCGAACTAGAGGTGGAGGGTGTTCCGAGTAATGATTTATTCAAATTCAAAGGTTTTTTTCCAGAAAGAGCCATTGATTCACTGGAAGACGAGCTGCCTCGTCGTCTTCATACAGCCGTGATCTAGATGCCAAGGGGTTCCGAGTTTAATATTCATACACATTCAAAGGTGTTACATTTCGGAATCACACTCGATCATGGAAACTTAAGATGTCTATAAAGGAGGAAATTCACCTCTTTAATGAAATCGCTAATTGTTATGAAATGACATCTTTCAAGACATTTTTTTTTTCTTTCAGTGAAGCATTTGATAAGGCGTTCAATGAAATGGATAAAAACCGAGATGGCACGTTGTCACGAGCTGAAGTAACCACCGCCTGCCGGCAATGTGGTTGTAGTGACGCAGAAATAGATGACATGATTAAAAGTATTGATAAAGATGGAGATGGCAATATTTCAAAAAAGGAATTTATGACATTAGTTTGATTTGACCATTTATTGTACATAGACACGTCTGATTCCACTTGCATTCGATATTGAATATGTTAACTGAATTATGTTTGTAACTGACGAGAACAATATCGGATAATATGGCATATCCGTTTGTTGAGGTGTAAAAAAGAAGCATTTATGCATATTAGATCGGTGTATATTGACAATAATAATGATTTTAAAATCCGATAGAAATAAGAAGATATGACAGTTTAAATATTTTATAGAAGAACATGCACAAATAAATCATTTAAATATTTCAGTCAGTTAATTTTGCATATAACGATTACAGATGGTTCAAGTTATCACAAAGATTGAGTTACTTTGAGCAGTATACAGTACCCATGTACTATATGAGGGTAAGAATGCCCTTTACCGTCAGGCGTCAAACGGTCATTTTCGGTTACCTTTAGCGTCAAATTGATTAAAATTTTATCGTGTGTCGTCAATATATCCTTATCGTGATTCGTCAGAGGTCTCAAATAATTAACCGTTACCGTTATTACTGTAAAAACTTTAATGTGATTCGTCAAAATCAGTCATTTTTTATCGTCATAGAGAAATGTACATTTTATCGTCATGCACCAAAAATTACCGTTAACGTCATTTGGCAAGATTTTTTTACCGCTATTCGTCATGAAGGTACCCCCATTACGACGGCCTACATATGTCTTTGCTTTGAGACAGGAGATCCCCTGCATTTTTATTTCACCAACATGGTCAATCCGGGGCAATTTAGAGCTTTACCCAATGATTTTGTCTGTACACCTATATATTGTTTAAGACCATATTCTTTGGGTTTTTGTGTCGTTTGATAGCCGTCTCATTGACATATACCCCCAAATCCTCCTTTATAATCTAACCTGGCATAAAAGGTCATGTGAGCTTTTGCCATCACTTGGCGTCCGCCATCGTCCGTCGCACTGTTTTCAAAGATCCTCATCTAAAACATAAAAAATAAAAACTAATTTCAACCAAACTTGGGGTGAATGATCCCCAGGTTAAATCGTATAAAAGTTTTGCTTTTTAATCCAGTCAATACCCATGGCCGCCTTTGCTAAAAATGAATCATAAGGGTAAAATGCATTATTTGTTTCATATCTTTAAAGGTAGCCCTCCTGTTAATAAACACAATGCAATTTCCCATAGAAACTCCTTTTACAGCTAAAACTGTGCCATTTTTCCTACGAAATATCGTAAAAAATCATATCTTGGAATGTAAAGTTCATATGCACTACCATGTTTTGCAAAGGTCAAAACATGGGGTTGTGTGGCATATTTTCACACATTTATAAACCTTGAACTTCTACGAGTTTACACTTATACTAGAATTCTGTACTACCCCTCCTTTTACTTTGAGTCTTCCTGAGAAATCAATTTGTCCGCAATCCAACAGTATTTAAACTGGTAAAATTCCCAAGTTGTGTCTCTATAAGATAAAACATAGAGATCATATATGGGAACCAGTAGGTAAACAAAACAAAAAATCTATGAATATTAAATCTCCCAAAAAGAGGCGTGGTTTGCGAATCAGCTGAATTTACAAAGTGCAACATATAAGCATAATAGATCAGAGAAATCTGATAGGAACAAAATGGTCAAAATTTCAAGATCTATTTTCTTTCAGTTTTCACCAAAACTATCAGATAACACCTTAAAGGAGTTAATACCTCTAAAAGAGAGGCGACATATATCAAAGGGACATTCATACTCATAAGTCGAAAATAAACTGACATGGCAAAAAAACGAAAAAAGACCAAAAGACAAACCACAGTATACAAAACAAAACATAGACAGACAAAGTGATGCTCCCGCACTCCACTCTGAAGTAACTGTATTATAACAAATTCAATGTAGAACTTTCTTCGAGATATTATTGTGTCTGGGAGACACAAATGATGCCCCCGCAGATGCAAAGTGTTATTTTAAAATACACAAAGTTTATCATGGGAGCACAAAGGTCTATGGTTCACTGTAGGAGGAGCTATCCGGAAACGATATGCACCTCTTATGCAAGTATATACTCCAAACAAGACAAAGTTTAACTATCTCCCAAAAGAGCAAATATCAATAAATATCAAAACCCTGACCACATGCACACCTTCAATATATGTACAAACAGCCAGCAAAGTGAAAACTTCCTATCATTCAACTGTAGGAGGAGTTATCTGGAATACCTATTTACCCATAATGGGACGGACGGACGGAAGGACAGACGGAAGGACGAATAGACGGACGGAAGGACAGGGGTAAAACAATATGCCCCCAACTTTCAGTTGCGGGGGTATAAAAACGGAAGACTTGGTAACACGGACCCCATCAGGGGTGATCTCATGTGCCCCAGAAGAGTCCGCAGATCCTGCTGTAAATAAAGATTATTTTGGTAATTTTCATGTTTTTGTCTATTATCTCAAATATATAATAGATATGCAGAAACTGTAAATGGAAAAGTGATCAGCAAATCAAGATCTAAAAACGGTCAATAGGATCAAAACCACTAGATAACCCCTTAAGCTTTAATATTTTTTTTTACTAATCCAAGTGTTTTTGCCTATCATCTCCAAAACTACGTAAAACAAGAGGTAGAACAGCAAAACTGATCTCCCATACAAGAAATAAAATAAAGATAAACGACTGAAATTGTCAATTGATCGCTGACAGGAGTTTCCCGCGCCAGTAACCATGCATTTGATCATCTTTTTTTCTCAAAATCAATGTTAATACCGGTCGGTAAACACAATATTCAAAGATTTTACTTCAGTGTCAAAATTATATCCTTTAAGTAATCTAATCAAAATATAAATCTCTGATTACGTTATACTCATACTTCGACGAGGAGTAAGCAAGTTACGATAGATCTGAATTTTAATCAGATTGATCCTTTAAGAATAAGTTTATTTAAGGGGCTATTAAGTTTACATGAATCGCATTTATGTTTGTGTGCTTTATGAAAACATTACCGTAACAATGCCCATGTAGTATCAATCGTCCTAGCAATGCACGGAATATTTGCCACTGGAATCACAATTGCCCAATCAATCATATATATCTCAAAAGTTCAATTTAGTTACATGTTGTCGTATTTCTGAATATTTATCTCAAAATGACTAGGAAAGACGATCATAACAAGCTTTAACCAAATTTCTTTCAAAACCAAGTTGTTTGTCATTCAATTACAAATTATTTCAATTTGGTCCTGAAGGACTAACAGTTTTTTACAAAAACATTTGTTTTCCATTTTTGTTAATAATCTTAAATAGGATTGTTAACACCATCATAGCATTCAGATTGATAGATATTACTAAAAATATTATATTTTTTGACTATTTAATGCACAATTTTAATCAATTTTGCTGATATTCATTGTGAGTGAAACAGATCGATACATCAGAAAAAGACCACATTCCTCTCTTGGATATGACTTTTATAAAATGTATGCGACGCGTTTTTTTTTTATTTATTTCAACAGAGATTCCATAATAGGAAAATATTTATAACATTGATAAAAATAATAACAAAAAAATCAGACAAAAAACACTGCATGATAAAAAAGCTAAATATGGAATATAAAACGATTTGAACATACAACCATATAATATAATGTTCAGTGTTATATTTACCATGTACCAGAAGCAGTATCATATCTTTTTTTTTTAAAGTTTCACGGACCCCACCATGATTTGGTTGTCTGTCACAGTTAGCCATGGACACCACTTGTAACAACAATGGTGTCCTCTTTTTCTGGATTGTGGCATTGCCCCTAACTTATCACCCACTTTTACTTACCATGAGGAACAGGACGGGTGTCACTAGCAGAGCACGAACTTAATTGCATACCCTTCCGGAACACCAGAGTTAACCCCTATTTTTCTTCTAAAGTGGTTCGTGTTGCATTTTATTATGCTCTTTGTTTTTTATTTTTACTGTTTAAGTGTCTGTTGTTTTTTTTAATTATCGGTAACGATTTTGTCTTTCCTTTTCCCAGGAAAACTGTCTTAGTTTTAAACGTTCATATTCGGTCATGTATTAGGGTTAATGCATTTGCATGTACCAATAGCAGACAAGGGAATTTTTTCTAATCTGCTTTATTTAAGAAACACATATCGTCCGCTCAGAAATAGGCATACTATGTTATTTTTCTACAATAGTTTTAATATTTTTATAGATTTTTCCAGTAAGTGCTACCATAGAGAGGTAAAGAGTGTTGCTAGGTAAAGAGTGTTGCTAGGTATCCCTTTTACTTCAAGTCTGTGAGGGATTGGAATAGATTATGCTTCAGACGAGTTCAAGAACAAGCTGGCTGATAAAATGAGTTGACATTAAAACACTGCATACTTCTGAATTTCAATTCTCCAAGCATTTATGTATGTCAATGTCATGTTTAGCAGTTTGATGAGTTTGTCGAAATGATGAGTTAAGTTCCCCTTTCCTTGTAGTTAAAAATTATTTAGGTATATGATTCGACTGGTTCGATACCAGATGCGGATCCAGGATTTTGAAAGGGGGGGGGGCAAACTAGACAAAATTTGTAGTGGAACCGGTAAAAAGTCTGGATTAACCATAAATAAAGCTCCATAAAGGAGGGCGGTTCACGTTTCTGTTGAGAACCATAAAATGACACCCTTTGACTGTTTACGTCCTTGGTAAAAGTCATATAAGGACACGGTTTAAGCTACTCACGTATCTGTTGACGATCATAGAAGGAAAGTGCAGCGAGCGAAGCAAAAACTATCATTCAATCTAACACTTTGATTGTCGCTGCTGTTTGACTGCTTACCTCTGAATAGATACCAATGTTAGATATCACAGAAGCAAGATGATAGGGGTATTTCTTAAACCACTTTGTAGAATCCAAACCCCCACCTTTTAAATCTTGAAGAGCAAGACTATCACATGGAACCTTAAAAGACCACATAATAAAACTCAGTGCAGAATTAATACTTCATTCTACAACATAATAAAAGCGAAGCAATGTATGATTACAATTTTAATTAAATACAGATCCTGTGTCCACGCTATTATTTCCCAACGGTCATTTGGTTGTGTGTGGTGCTTAAAATACACAGCCTCGTCCAATCGGAATGGGGGACGTTAAATCCGATGCCTTGATTGGAAGACTTCCACAATTCACAAGTGCTAATGAACCCTTGAAACAAGTCTTTGGGAGGTCTGTAGATGATTACATCTTGTACCTGCTGCTTGCCAAAATTGCTGTGTCTATTCAACCTACCTCATATATATTAAATTATCAGCACTATT